CTGAAGGAGTTTACACTGTGATTCATTTACATGTGGGAGAGAGAGAGACCTCATAATGTCACATCCCACACATCTGAAGCATTCAAGTGAGATGGGGAAGAAGGAGTAAAGACTTGAATCTAAGTTTTCCATCTCCTGTATGAATATTCTTGTTACCATGATATCTGACAGATTACAGACATGACTTCTTTCTTCAGTCTCTCTTTAAGGAAACTCTGAAAAAAAAAAAACCAAACAATTCAGTTCCTCACAGAAGATGAAATCTTGAAAAGTTTTGCACAAGGAGAAAATGGTTTCCTATGTGACTATAGCATTAGAGTATGTCATTAGCCCTTCACTGATCCTGAGCTAAAAGCAGAGAGAAGCAGGGAAATGTCTTGTTCCTTATGTTAACGGAGTTAGGTATTTACTGTACTTGTTTACTAGATGCTGAAATCCATCACCGTAGAAGACATGCACATAATTTTAGACATATCCCTCAAGGAAGAAAGTAGAAATTATGGACTGGTTGGAAATCCTGTCTTGAGTACTGATATTTTTTTCAGACTGTAAGGGTTTTAGTTCATGCTTTATGAAAGCAAGTTGTGCAGAGAGCCATTTCAGGGGAGGGCTATGCCTATTTTTAGTAAAACTCCAAAAAAGGGAAACAAAAAGAAAGACAGAGGCTTCTGAACATATCTGCTCTCACAAATTCACCGTGAGGGCAAAGAACAGCACAACCAACTGTCCCACAGCTATCAGCCTGTATAGGATCCTTCCCTTTTTTAGTTTATGTCTCCCCCACCCAGACACAAGCTCTCTAAGAGGCAACCTGCCTATAAAGTTATGTAAATACCAGCCTTGCAATGTTTATATTAAGTTGTTTCTAGAAGGCAGATTCATTTATGGAGGAAATATTATGTCCTTTTTCTTCCAGGCTGGTTTTCAGCTTCAGTCTGTTTCAATGTAAATATCAAAAGAGAGAAAAACTGTCTTTTTTTTTTTAAAAAAAAAAAAAGCAGCAGACGCAGACTTGAACTAACATTTCCAAGAGGCTCAAATATTTTAATGAAAACAATCATTTGACCTCATCAACTTTGAGTAATCTTATTAGATTTTTTCACTAACTGTCTCCAGCAACTTTTGAAACAAAAGTTGCATTTCAAAATGATGTATGAGATGAGCTGCTATTCTTAAGGAAGATCTACAAACAGTGGAGTGTATGCTGTTAGCCAAAGAAGTCAGCTTCACAGACCTAGAGGCACATCCTTGTGCTCATCCCCTTCCACACTGCCCCTGCCTTTCAGTTCTGCTCAGGGCTATTTGTGTCTGCAAAACAGGATGTTCAGCCAGACCTTGCAGCAACCTTTTGCAATCTGCATGGTTTGATGAAGTCCAGTGACAGTCTGTATATCATCAGTTAAGCGAACATCATGTCCTGGGGGGTAAAAACTAAAAATTAAACTAAAATTTTGTATTTACATATAGAAAGCAATACCCTAGCTGAATGAGGTGATGGGTTCATGTTCTTTGCTTTGCTGCTATGGAAATCTTCATGGAGGTGAGAGCCTTTGAAATTGTCTTAAGCATAGCCCTTAGTTATTCCAGAGCTAGGAGGGACACCATGTATTTATTCTGCTTACAGGGTAAGTGTAATACCTGGTGGTTCATTATACATCCTAGCCTGTATAGGAACATTGTTCTTTAACAGTGATTAATTGAATGTCACTGACCGTAGCTGTGAATGAACAATTTATGTTATTGAGGTGGCTACATTTAGCCTGTATCTGGGAGTAGGAGTTGCTGTATCACCCAGTGACCCCTCCCCAGCTGGGAAGGGGAATTGGGAAAAGGAGAGGAGACCCGTTGGTTGAAGCGACAACAGATTTAATGAAACAGGACTAAGGCCAACGAAGAATATACGAAGCTATACTCAGCCCAGTGAGCGCACAGCAGTCACCATCAACAGGAGAGCAGTCCTCAGGAGCAAGAAGAAGCCAGAAGAGAAGCAGGAAGAGAAGAAACATTTGCCCCCCCAGCAAACTTTCCCTTTTGTACTGAGTGTGACATTTATGGAGTGGGATGCGATACACCTGTGAGCCAGCTTGGCTCAGCTGCCCTGGCTTTCGCCCCTCCTAGCCTCAGCACTTGGCCAGCTTGAAACTGCTGACAGCCTGCATACCATGGCTGGCCTAAGATTCCATCCCAGTGAAACCAGGACATGGGGTCCCTTCCGTGATGAAGTGAGAGTGGCTGACAGTGAGAGGGTATCTGAGTATATAGATATTCATTCTGTGCATGTATTGTGCAAAGAATGACATCATTAGCCAGGAGGAAAAAAAAAATCTTGAGATATTAAGAGTCAAACATGAACATTTGAAGAGTGTGATGACTCCACCAGCACCTTGCTTATTAACCAAGATTCTGCAACAAATATACAATGTAGGCCAAGAGGTGATAGCTATGTGAAAATCATGCTGGATTAAGGAATTTGCTTTTCCTCCTGTTTGTCTGCAGTGACATTTCTGAAAAATAGCACCAGTATCTGCAACCCAAGCTGGCACTTGACAATGGTGCCTTTTCCTCATCATTGGTGCTCTTTGTTCACATCAGGCCTAAAGGAGCGCGAAAGTAATCAAATTCATGTCATTGCTTTAGCTTGTATTAAAAGCCATTATAGCTCCGAGGAGATACCCAAAAGCTATTTCATTCTCAGTTTAGAGAAGAGCAGGGAATCTGATGCCAAATACAGTGCACACACATGTTTACATGTTTTAAAATCATATAACTGAGTTAGTTTGCATGGAATTATGCATCTAATGAGTAACTAATGGATTATTTCCATTAATAAGGGTGTTTAACAGCAGGTAATAGGCCAGATTTAACAGCTCTTCCAGCTGCCACCTGATCGTGCAAGTGGTTTCATCCACATAACTGTGACTATAGCCTGAAAGAAGAGTTTCAGCTCAGGGTGTGACCATACAATGACAAAAAGGAAAGCTGGTTTGAAAACACCACTTGTTGCTTTTGCTCATACAACTGGGGCAGGAAAGAGGATCTGGAAAACACATTTGCTGTCACTTAGTACAGCAGCCAGGGTACATGTCAGTCTGTTGGTGGCCCAAAAAGGAATGGGTCCATTCAAACAAGGTTAAGCCCACATGGAAGACATGGCAGGACAGATACCTAGCTCATGCCTTGGTGATCCAGTTATAGTAGGATAAACACCTCACAAGTACTAACCTACTGTTAGTTGAGCTGACAGTCATTGAAGAAAGGCTTCCTTGGGAGATAGCCATCTATTCTTTTTTTGACTCAGCCATAAGTACTGCAAGAATATCTTACTGCTCCGTTATCATGTTTCTGGTTCCTACAAAATCAATAAGACCGAGCGTATAAAAGCTAAGCATACTTTGACAGAAAATTACTACGAAATGGAAGTTTATAAAAAAGAAGGTGGCAAAAACTTCTGTATTCAGTGCATAGTGAAATATTCTCCAGGATGAACTGAATAAACACTGGTGTTGACAGCTAAACCACTATATAGTTATTAAAGCATTTGGTCTCTTAACAAGCTATAGCACATCAGTTACTATCTTCAATGACTAAAACTTAAAATCAACCTTCACATCTGTCTGTTACTTGAGCTACCATATTAGACTTGCACGGTGGTTTCACAACTCATGGCTTCTTATTCATGGGGCATCAGGTGATGTGTTCCCTGGGTATCACACACAGCTTGTAGTTTGCTGTAGCAAAGGGGGTTAAAATAAAAGACTCTTTTTATTGGTTTGGTGGATTTGGGGGGATTTTTTGCTGCTCAGTGTCTTGCTACTTTGAAATAAGTCAACAATGAACCAAAAAATTCAAACCTTTTTAGACTGTTACAGCTATCACTAGGTACCTAGGTATATTCTGCCAGATATTCAAAAGCACTTGGCAAATACTGCTTCTGTTGGAGGCAATAACATCTTAAAAGCCAGACTACTTCAATCGAGCTGCCTACTTGAGCATAAGAAAATAAGAAACATCCTTTCACAGCGGAGGCCATCCTCTGACAAGGATGCTTCGGATAGCTGATAAAAAGGGAGTGCTCTAAAAGGAATGAGCCCCACCACTTCTGGAATTCAGTGGTTTGAGTCATCCAGACTGTTACATTTAATGGTCACCACTAAACCTAACTCCTATGAATTTGTCCTTTTGAACCTGTTTATGTTTTTGTCCTGCAAAACATTACTTGTCTGTGAACGTAGAGTATGCATGCTATATTTAAAAATACTTCTTTTGTTTCTTTTATGGCTGCTGCCTGGTAATTTAGTCGGGTGGCCCCTAGTTCTTGTTTTCTGAAAAATAGTTAGTAGTCATTTTCTATCTACCTGTCTTCTCTATTCTTTTTCTACTTGCCATTCACAATTTGTAGAACATTGTCTTCTCAAAATTTATGCACCCAGATTTCAAATTCTGGGCCGTATTTTTTGATGCCATGACCCTTTCTTTTGTGAATATAGCAAAAAGTTGTCCCTGCCCAGGGAAGAGGATGAGGCAGAGGAGTGCTATCAGTATTTACAGCCTATATATTGCTGTTTCTTTGCTAGCTCACAAGTGGTATAAGAAGCAGTATGTGGTGTTAACTACCCTCCTTTTAACTGAGCTCATTCAGCACTGATTGTGATGGAAATCAGAGCAGAAATTCAGTATGAGTTGGATCTTGGCCCAGGGTTTTCATCCCAGTTAATCTGCTATGAAGAATGGAGTATGACAGATTATGCGAGATGTGTAGCAGTTTTCTTTGATTCTTTGAAAAGTTCCAGCTTCAATTGTGAATATTCTGAGGATCATTCAGGACAATAAAAGTGTTTTTTAAAAGGATTTTTAATTCTTGAGCTTAATATGCTGAAAGAACATATTATATTTTCAAGTACCAAGAAAGCATCACTATGGATGTAAGCTTTGCAGTTAATCTGGTACCTTCCAAAGCTCACCTTTGAATTAGCTTTTTTTTTTTTTTTTTTTTTAACTAGGTGAAGCAACAGTGAAGAAGAAACCAGCTCCAAAGACTCCTCCAAAAGCAGGTAATTTGTTGCATGTGTCGTCCTGTAGGAATAAACAATAAACCAATGCACTTCTAAAGAACAGGCACCACATTTCTAAGTACAGCTGTTTGCCTACTGTATTTGTTTGCATCTGTGATTAAATGGTGGTAAGCAAAGTCCCTTTTTCAAACTTGTTCATAAGGTTACACAGCTCTAGGACTTAAATTATGAGCATGCAAAAAAGTTACTATCATATAAACAATGCCAAGATACTAGCAAATTGCATCAGTAGTGTGATAAGTCATCCCCTTTTCTATATCCACCACACACCTTAGCCTTCTGTGAAACAGACTTTTCTGTGCATGCTACTCTGCGTGAGTAGCTACCACAGAGAAGCTGATAGATTCTACTTTTCCTTATAACTGGCTTTGCAGTAACTTGTTCATGTGTTTGCACTCTCCTAAGGCAAAGCTATCTATATTTAAAGTTACCAAGAATGTTCCTCTATAGGAACCTGCTTTCAGTGTCTTAAAACTTTGTCAGACTTTTAAACAATTTAAGCTGTTTTCTATGCCAGATATGTATCTCAACCTAGTTTTCTTCAGATATTTTCAAAACAAAAAACACTTTTCAAAGAAACTA